ATAATAATGCTGTTAATAATGATAATGATAATAATAGTAATAATACTATTAATAATGATGATGATAATGACAATAATAGTAATAATAATAATAATAAATAAACGTAATAATAATAGCATTGGTAAGATGAATGAAGAATGTCGAGAGAATCTATCCATACAACTCGAGTGAATTAAATAGACTTTGGAAAGAAAGTGAGTCATCCCGAGAGTGAAAGCGACACCGGCGATAAAAGGGGCGTGGCAGAGCTAAGGGTGAAGGAGCCAAGGGCAGCGAGGAGGGAGGGGGGAGGGGGGGGAGTCGGAGCTCTGGCTTGGTAACGGGATTCGAAGGGGGAGGGAGGGAGGGAGGGATGAAAGGAAGAGGAAGAGGAGTCAAAGACGGAGGGAAGGTGGCGGGTGGGGGAAGGATCAAAGGAGGAGGGGAGAGAAGGAAGAAAGAATGGAAGGGAGAGGAGTGAAGGGAGGAGTGAGGAAGAATGAAGCAAGAAAAGACGAAGAAGGCGTCGATTTAGATTTTATGAGTAGGTTAAGTAGAAGAAGAGAGAGGAAATGAAGTAGGGAGGAGAATTACGGTGAGTGGGAGGGGATGAGGAGACGAGAGAGGGTGAGAGGGTGAGAGGGTGCGTGGGTGCATTCATGCTTGCACTGGCCGGAGTGGTGTAAGGCGATGAGGTGTGTTCGCTCATCTCTTTGCATGTAAGCGTTCTTGTTGCACGTTGTATGCCGAAGTTGCACGGGGTGAGAAAGAGGGATAGAGTGAGAAAGAAGGAGAAGGGAGAACGGGTAGGATAAGATAGTCAGGAGGGAGAACGGAAGGCGAGGTGGAAGGAGGAGAGGGGATAGACAGCCATTTCAAAAGAGTCGCGAGAGACACACGGAAGGAGAGGCAGAACAAAAGACATGGACACAGGGACAGGCACGAGATTAGACACAGGCATGAACGCAGACACGGAAACAGGTGTTAGCGCAGGAACAGAGAAGAAGCAGGAGGCGAAGAAGCGGGGGTGCGGGTCGGAGGCAGGAGGGCACCCAGGCTGGTACCGTACGAACGCGTGGTTTGCGGTGGCGAATTTCCTGCCGGTTTCCCCTCGCCCTAAAGGAGGGCAGTGGGAAGTGCGAGTTGTGTGAAGTGTGTGTGTTGCGTGTGTGTGAGTGAGTGTGAATGCTTTTGGCTTTGCGGGTTGGAGGATGAATGGGGGAAAAAAATCTCGCCATGAAATTGCAATTTCAGCACGTGGAAAAGCTCTGGGTGATTCAGAATGTTTACATACTGCAGGGCGATGCGATCCACAGTATTTTTATATCTTAGCTGTTTATCTAATTATGAGCATATCCGTCTTTTGCACCATTTAATTAAACTCAAAACCGTGCTTTTAATTTCTCCCGAATTCAATCGAGCCGGTGCGAGCGACCGCGTGGTCCCTCGCGGGCGTGTCCGACCGCATGCGAAGCGAGGTTCCGCCAGAGACCGCTGCGCTGGCTCCTCCGATGCGGCACGAGGGCCATTATGCTGCGGATTTTCCTCTTTAACTGGCTGGCCTATCTCTCTAATTGCCCTGCTGTTTGCTTGTTCGTTTTTTGCGAATAACGTTATGCGTTTGGGAGGGAGAGTGAAAGGGGGCTGTCGTACGGGTTTTGTGGGGATTAGAACGAAGAAAAAAAACGGTTGTGTGTGCTTGTGGTCGGTGTGCAACGTCGGGGCTTTCGGCACAGCTGTTGGGGTCTTCTTTACGACTCTTTGTTAATGTTTCTGTTCATTCTGTTCCCTTTCTCTTCATCTCTTCCTCTTCCTCTTCCTATTCCTCTGTTCAACTCACGCTGTCTCCCCTTTTTGGATGACTCCCTCCTCCCTCCCTCTCTTTCACTGTCTGTGTGTCTCTGTCTTTCTACTTCTCTGTTTCTCTGTCTCTCTCTGTCTTTCTATCTGTCTGTCTCCCTCTCCCTTTCTCCCTCCTCCTCCCGTCCTTTCCCCCTCCTTCCCTCCCCCCTCCCGCTCTCTCTCCCCTTCCCACCCTTCCTCCTCCTTCCCTCCTCACTCCTTCCCTTTCCTCACCTCCTTCCCTTCCTCACTCCTTCCCACTCCCCCTCCCTCACTCCCTTCCCTCTCCTCCTCCCTCATCTCTCTATCTCCATCTCATGAGATTCCTACCTCCGGCATGTATTTTTCATCAGAAGAGCGATAATGGAAAGTGCTTGCCGCCGAGTTGAACAACATTATGCTGCTTGCGGCTTTGTGGCATAAGGACGGTACTTGGCAGGCGCTCCCGTCACATTTACTTTTTGTGTGTGCGTGTGCGTGTGCGTATGCGTGTGTTTGTGTGTGAGTGTGGAGTGTGTGTGTGTGTGAGTGTGTGAGTGTGTGTGAGTGTGAGTGTGTGTGTGTGTGTGTGTGTGTGTGTGTGTGTGTGTGTGTGTGTGTGTGTGTGTGTGTGCTGTGTGTAGTGTGTAGAGTGTGAGTGTGTAGGTGTGAGTGAGTGTGTGCGAGTGTGAGTGGCTTTGAGTGAGGGAGAATGAATGAGCGAGTGCGTACGTATGTAGGGAGTGGGCGGTATTGTGAATGAGTAGGTGAGTAAACGTGTCAGCGAATGAGTAAGTTAGTGATTGTGTCCGTGAATGTGATAAGGAAAAGTAGAAGAGGCATGAGATAAAGCTGGAGAGACAGAGAGAGACACAGAGACGCAGAGACAAAGAACAAGAGGGCAGGGAGGCAGGGAAGGGAGAGGGGGGGGCACGGTCTTGGCTCGTAGACCTGTTGCCTTATCTGTTCGTCCCTTTTATCCTTTGTATGTTTTTGACTGAAAAAAATGGAATAAAGAATAGGTAAGAATAAGTAAGAAGAAAGAAAAGGATATTGGAAGAAGAAAAAAACATGGAGATAAGGAAAGTAAAGAAAAGTGAACAAGGAAAACAAACAAAAGTAAAGAAAGGAAACCGACAGAAGAGGGAGCTGAGGTTACAGTAATAACGGTATAGAGAGAGGTGAGAGGAGGCCGACCCGGTGTGATTGGGGTAAGCGCGCGCGCACACACACACACACGCACACACACACACACACACACAACCACACACAACACACACACACACACACACACACACACACACACACACCACACACACACACACCACACACCACACCACACACACAAACACACACACAACACACACACACAAATACACACACACAATACACACACACATAACACACACACACATAATACACACACATACACACACACACACACACACACACCACACATACACACACACACACACACACACACACACACACACACACATACTCATATACACACATATACACACATAAATACACACATATACATGCATACACACCGACAGAACAGGAGGAAATGAGAAGATACACTAATAACGGCGTAGAGAGGAGGAAGAGGAGGCGGACCCGGTGTGATTGGTGGACAGATGCCAAGACACGTGGACGACAAGTAACCTGTAGACGCACACGGTACACGCACACGAAACACTCACATGACACACAACACACACACACAACACAGACGGGACACGCGCATAGAAAGGGCGCAAACTCACACACACGCGCGTACGCATACACTCACACGCCATTGCCACACACACACACACACACACACACACAGCACAGCACAGGCGCACAGTCACCACGCACACTGACAGTTACACCCACATCATACCCATGTTTACACTCACACTCACCTCACTTCTCTACTTACATCTCTCTCG